CCCATTTTTTGATTGGATTGTTTATCTTCCTTTTGTTAAGTTGTTTGAGTTCCCTATAAATTTTGGAGATTAGGCCCTTATCAGATATGACATTGGCAAATATGTTTTCCCACGCAGTGGGTTTTCTCGTTGTTTTGTTGATGGTTTCTTTTGCTGTGCAGAAGCTTTTTATTTTGATGTAGTCCCATTTGTTCATTTTCTCTTTAGTTTCAAGCAGAAGTGACATTTTTAAAGAAATCATGAATTCAAATGATTTGTGGATAGAAACTACTTGATTTTGAATTTATCATTTGAAAGGAATAAATATATATTTTTATTTGGTATCCACATCAACTGATTTTTAATTAGCATTTTACATTAAAGTAATAACACTTGAAAGTTTATGGGACCTCGGGTTTATGACAGTTGACATCATCCTATATAATAAAAGGCTAATATGCAAATAAACTAAGTGGCGGAACAACTGATTGCTATGACGTGCACTGACCACCATGGGGCAGACACTCAATGCAGGGGCTGTTTCCTGGTGGTCAGTGTGCTCCCACAGGAGCGTGGCTCACGGCTGGTGAGCACAGCGGTGGTGATGGAGGGAGCGAGCCTAAACCCTAAACCGGCAGTCGGACATCCCCTGAGGGGTCCCGGACTGTGAGAGGGTGCAGGAGGCCAGGCTGAGGGAACCTGCCCCCCCCCCGCACTCCCCACTGCCCAAATGTCGTTCACCAGGCCTCTAGTTTTAAATAAAAATAATTTTATTGTATTATGATCACAAAAATTACATATGCTGATTGTAAAACATTCTGAAAATTCAGAAAGTTACAAAGAAAGAAGAAAGCAAAAAGCAAAAAAATACCATCATCATTCTGCTTGATGATGACTACACATCTGCTCACGAGATTGGTGCTCTCGTCTGTGCTTCTGCTCATGCATTTGCTCTCCTTTACAAATTCAAATCTTATAAAAATTGGGTCATAAAGTTTGTTCAACTTTGACTATCATATCTTAAACATCCTTTCATGGTAATAACATTTTCTATCTCTTTATTGGCATTATATGAATGTATCAATTTAAGCAATTCTCTAGACATTTAGGATGGTCTCTTGTATTGATATTATGATTAATTGTATGTGCATCTTTGTGCAGGTATTTATTTCCTTTATATGAATTCTTAGGAATGGAATCGCTGGCTAGAAGATCTGGGCACATTTTGAATGTTTTTATCAACCAGCAGATTGATTTCTAGAAAGGTCATACCATTGTATGCTCTCTAACACTGGACATGATCAATCTTTGTAAATTTTTTTTTTGTATTTTTGCCAATCTGATAGTTGAATAAAAATCTCACTTTGATTTGCATTTTTAAATAATGAATGACTAAAAAAAATTAAAAGCATGTTTATCAACCATTTGTATTTTTTTGTTGACTATCCATTTATATCTTTAGCCCATTTTCCTGTTGGGCAGTTTCTATTGTTCCTCCTCCTCCTTTTAAATTTTAAGACCTCTTCATAATATAAGGATGTGAACTTTTATTTGTCATTCATAATGCACTTATTTTGCCATTTAAAAATATTTGCTGTTTTTTGTTTTATTTTAGAGATATGTTGGTATCACTGTTTTCCACTTGGTATTTCCACATTTTAATATGACCGTTATAATTCATAATGACTTGGTAGATGGATTAAGGATTAGACCTTTAAAAAAATGAAGATACTTTTTAGACGGGAAACAATTTTTGCAGATGATAAAGGTGATGAATTGCTCATGTAATTATATATGTTTGCTGTGATTACAGTTTCAATTGCTGCATATAAAATAGAAATTATGTGAGGGAGATATTTTACTATAGTTGAAAGACTCCTTACTTTAAATGTCAGACAGTCCTGGCTTTATTAATTTGTTCTTTAACTTAGACAACAAATGTTTAAGTACCTATTATATATTAAAAATTCATAATGGTTTCTCTATTTACTGCTGTGTGACCAGAGCAGTTTACTTAGCTAATCAGTATTTTGACTCTATTTATTTATTTTTAAAAGAGGGATAATACCTACTTTGTTGACTTATTGTAAGGATTATAGTTTACCTGAAGTATCTAAGAGCACCTGACATATAATCAGACAACAATAAACATTTAGTGTTGGTGTTGTTATTCTTTATAGTAACAGAACATAGGGTACTTTTAGCCTGTTATTATACTATATAACAGTGATGGTGAACCTATGACACGCGTGTCAGAGGTGACACACAAACTCATTTTTTTGGTTGATTTTTCTTTGTTAAATGGCATTTAAATATATAAAATAAATATCAAAAATATAAGTCTTTGTTTTACTATGGTTGCAAATATCAAAAAAATTCTATATGTGACACGGCACCAGAGTTAAGTTAGGGTTTTTCAAAATGCTGACATGCAAAGCTCAAAAGGTTCGCCATCACTGCTATATAATATCATTGCTGTGGTAGCAATTTAGCATATGGAGTAATTAACTATGGTTATTATAATTTTACTAGAGGCCCGGTGCATGAAAATTCATGCTGGAAGGAGGTCCCTCAGCCCGGCCTGCCCCCTCTTACAGTCCGGGAGCCCTCAGGGGCAGGAGGCGACCCAGCGATCAGGGGAAGGTGATGCCCCCATCACACCTCTGCTGCTGCCACTGCCGGCAGCACAAGCCTCGGCCGGCCCTGGTTACCTGAGCCTCGGGCAGCCCTGGGTGGCTGGGCAGCCAATAGCTGAGGCTTGCTTGCGCCTCGGGCCAGCCCTGGGCAGCTGGGCAGCCGACAGCCAAGGCTTACCTGCGCCTCAGGCTGGCCCTGGGCGACTGGAGGGCTGAGGGGACTGGGAGACTCCGGAGGCAGGAGTGTGGCAAGGCTGGGCCCGCCTGCCGCCCCGGCGGGGCTGAGGGGATTGGGCACCGTCATCTTGTGGCTGTGGGCACCGCCATCTTTGAGGGCATGGCAGTCAATTAGCATATTCCCTCTTTATTGGCTGTGGGTGCTGCCATCTTTGTGATGGTGTGAGGGTCAATTAGCATATTCCCTCTTTATTATATAGGATTAATAGAGAGAATAGAGCCTACCTAGGTTGACTATACTTAGGATCTGTTAGATGAATAATACTTTCTTATTTTTGTATAGCAGTTTAGTTTTCAAAGCTTTTTACTCATTTCTTGTCTTATTTGTTCCATACAGTTTTCCTTTAAGATAAGCAGGGCCTGTAGATTTTTCCATTTTATAACTGAGTAGCTGAAACTTGGAGAGGATGATTGACTTATCCAAGGTCATATGGCTTATAAGTGATTAATCAGGTTCATATTTTCTCCCACCTATATTTAAGATTCTCACTGAATCTAGATTGACGCACAGTATGGGAAGGCACAGAGAATGGAATCTATACTAATAAAACGGTAATATGCTAATTAGACCAGACGTCTTCTGGACATCTTTCCTGAAAAAGCCACGGTGGCAATTAGGGGCGATCATGTGGGCAGGGGAGAGCAGTTATGGGCGATCAGGCAGGCAGGCAGAGTGGTTAGGAGCGATCAGGCAGGCAGGCAGGTGAGCGGTTAGGAGCCAGTGGTCCCAGATTGCGAGAGGGATGTCCCACTGCCTGAGGGGTCCCGGATTGGAGAGGGTGCAGGCCGGGCTGAGGGACCCCCCCCCCCTCCGTGCACGAATTTTGTGCACTGGGCCTCTAGTTTGACTATAATTGCTCAGTCTTCATTTAGCTTTAACCATTTTATAGTTCTTTGTATTGTTCCCATTTCAGTCATGTGAACATTGGCCTTAATGTCTTAGTTGTCTATGGCAGTGATTTAAAAAAGGAAGGGAGGGAGGGAGGAAGGAAAAGTTTATCTGATAATATATGCTTGGGAGCAAGATCTCAAATGCTCCCTATAGCTGTGATTTTTAACCTTTCTTAAAAAATCTCATGGCACACACAAACTAATTACTAAAATTTTGCAGCACACCAAAAAATATATTTTTTGCTGATCTGATAAAAACATACGTATAATTTTGATTGATATAAAAAAACTAGTAATTATCTACCTTTTTTGCTCCAAATTGACTTTCTAAAAATCAGTTACCTATACTTGTATATAAGGATTTCTGGTACCAAGAATTAGCTAATCAGATGCAACCCTTTTATGTGATGTGACCAATAAGATGCAACTGTATTATATGACCTATGTATTTATGGTTCAAGACAGGGCATTCATACTGGATAGCTATTGTTGTATTGATTGTGGTCTTTTTTTTTTTAATTTGACAATCTAAGGGAAAAGAGGTCAGTACCCCTGACTAGTTAGGTGTTGCATGTTTCAGAAATCTTTGCAGCATACCAGTTGAAAATTGCTGTTCTGTAGCATTGATGGTGGTTATAGTGAATCACACCTCTGGATATTCATGCCCATATGAAGTCCCTTTCCTTTCAATCGGGACTGGGCCAATAGCTTATTTTACAAAACAGAATGCCACAGAATTAAACTCCTCCAGGTCTGGATGTAAGCCCTAAGAAGGCCACCTCGTTTTGGCTTTAGTGTTTTGGGAGACCTGAATCATCATGTAAGAAATCTGGCTACCTTCCCAGAGACACCATTTGGAAAAGAGGTCATATGGAGACAGAGAGGCCCTGAGATTGCATGGAAATAGCAACCTAGTTATCCTAGTATTCTAGCTGAGTCCACCTCCCCCCTGCCAGCTGAAAGTAATCACGAGTAACCATCAGCAGGAGAATCAGAAGTGCCTAGGTAAGCCCAGCTTAGCCTGCAGCATTACAAACAAATGGTTATTTTTCTTGAGCCAGTAAGTTTGGGGGTGGTTTGTTACACAACAATAAAAAAAGAAAAAGAAGCATAACAGTGTTCTTGAAAACAAAAGTTTTGCTAAAGGATATTTACTTTGCTTGTCCTCTTTTGACAGTTTTGGTCTTTTCACGGCTTGCAAATATCATGCAATATTGAAGAGAGATAATAGTAATAAATAATTCTTTTCCTTTACAGAAGCTCACCTTATTCTACCACCACTACATGGGTTTGGCTGATACTTGGGTGAATCTGAGGTAAACCAATCTCTCCATACTGATTCTCTTCAGAGAGATCTCAGGCGATAGGGTTGCTGTCTGTGTTCAGGGCTCTGATTCCTCTTCTCCGTTAAGTTTCTCCCTCTCAGTCTTTTGTGACTCTTTTCTCCCTGTCAGAGTTGTTGGATTTGGCCTGGGTCAGCCAGGTAAGATAAGATGGAGTAGTCTTTCTTCCTCACTTGCACTTATTTCTGTTATCCAGAAAAGACTTGGGCAAGTCTTTTGGGGCTGAAAGTGGATCTAAGACCAGGAGTCACCTTATTTTTGTTCACTTACATATTAATTAGCAGGGAATATATTGAGCCATTGCTCATGCAGTTTATTTTTTCCTCTCAGAGAATAGAGTCTCTACTATTTAACTTTAAATATTGAAATATAGGTTTTTTTTCATGTTTCTACTAGAGATAAGAATCAATGGTCCAAAAATTTATAAGTATAATTTTTTTTTAAATATATTTTACTGATTTTTTACAGAGAGGAAGGGAGAGAGACAGAGAGTCAGAAACATCGATGAGAGAGAAACACCGATCAGCTGCCTCCTGCACATCTCCTACTGGGGATGTGCCCGCAACCCAGGTACATGCCCTTGACCGGAATCGAACCTGGGACCTTTCAGTCCGCAGACCGATGCTCTATCCACTGAGCCAAACCGGTTTCAGCAAGTATAAATTTTTAAACAAATTTTTTGTTAAAATGCTTTTTGTGTTTAAAACTACAAGAAGATAGATTTAAAATTCCAGAGATTGATTGGCTTTCACATTGGTGGAGCAAGGGCCTCCTTTTATTTGCTCAAACAACAAAAACATGGACAAAACAATTACAACCAACCATTTCAGAATTCTGGCAGTTAACCAGAGAATGAACTGAAAATCCATGGCCCAAGAGAAAACTACTAAACCATGAGAAGACAGTGGAGCCTGTGACATTTTAACTTGAGGCGATTTCCATCTTTCCTCTTTCCCCTGCTTAGTGATATAGCAAAAGCTGGCAGCATTACAGACCAGACAGTGGAGAGATCTGACCACTTTTGGATATTCATTAAAAACACCAGCTCCAAAGCACAGTTGGTATGTTGTCCAAGCTTGCAGCTCCCTGGGAAAACTCTATTCTCAGAGAGTGGTTGACTATTTGATTTGACTCAGAGCTCAGCCCAGTTGGGGGAAGAAGAGGCCCATCAGGGCTTTGCTGAAACAATAGCAACTGTTGGCAACATATCCACTGCTTAAGGCTGTGATTTCAGTTGGGGCAAACAAGTGTCTGCCCAGGATTTTAAAAGGAAATCTTGGAGAATTAGCCAACCCTAGGGAATTTGGAAAAGCTCCAACGTATTCCTGGGGATCTGAAAGGTTGCACAATGTGCACAGCTGTGCACCTGCCCAGGAAAGACCTGGGGAAGGAGATCACCTATGGCTGAGGTTTTATGTAAGTAGGAAAAGAAAGCTAGGGCTGTCTTAGAAACTGTCTGCATTTCAGAGGTGTGACTACTCATAAAAATTCCTTGGGCAAATAATGGAAGACATACAGGCAAACATTTAAGGAAATCCTCTAACCAATCATTGGTTGACCACTAAGTTATACTGACCTAGTGTGACTCCTAAAAAGCCAGGCTTAAAAATAAAAGTAGAACTTAAAAAAAATTAGTAGAGATCTCAGTGGCCAGCACACTACAGGGAACACAGAATCTACAAAATTAGTTCATAAAAGTGCTAAACTATTTGTAGTGTCATCAATAAAAACAAAATCGGTGTTAAAAAATCTTGGTGGGGCAGTGTGGAGAATTTGATACTACAGTTGTTAAAATACATTATCTAAAATGTTCAGTTTTGAACAAAAAATTGAGACATGCAAGAAATAGGAAAGTATGCCACACACACAGGAAAGAAAACCACAAAAATCTGCTAAAAGAATTAATGTCCCATCGGGATCTCAGATCTGGGCTTAATAAGACAGACTTTAAGTCAGTTTTTATAAATATGTTCAAAGAACTAAATGATACCATGTAAAGAATTAAAGGAAGGTATAAGAATGATGTCTTGCTAAAGAGAATAGCAATCAACATAGAAATTATGGGAAAAGTACCATATGAAAATTCTGAAGTTTAAAAGTATAATTACTGAAATGAAAATTTACTAGTTGGGCTTAACAGATAGGAGTTGACAAATGAAATAATTTGTCAATTTAAAGATAATTCACTAGAGATTATCCATTGTGAGGAATAGTAAGAAAATAAAAATGAACAGAGCTTAACAAGATCTATGGGGTGTCATCAAGTGTGTCAACGTATGCATAATTGAAGTCCCAAAAGAAATAATGGCAGAAGACTTAATTTAAAATATTAATCTACACATTAAATAACTCAGTGTACTTTAAGTTAAATAGTGCTATCCACAGTTAGACACATCATAGTCAAATTTACAAAAGTGAAAGAAATTTTAAAAGCAGTAAGAAAAAAATAACATATAAAGATATAGTTTGTTTGACAATAATAATTAAAAAAAAAGAAGGAAGGGAATGGAGGTATATTGCAGGAAAAACATTTATATAGGAATTCAAACTAGAATGTTTTAGGTTAAAATGCTAATTGTAAATTCGAGGGCATTCACTTAAGGAAATAACACAAAAAAATTAGTGACAAACAAGGAATGAAAAAGGTACATTAGAAAATATCTAACACAAAAAGGGCAGGAATTAAGGGATATATCATATTACAGAGCTGAAATATTCTCTTAGAGAGGTTATAATGTGTAATTTTCACATTAAATCATGTATTTATATAATTTTTACCAGTAGAACATTTTGATTCATGGAGCCTCTTAAGGACTTAATTTTATGATACTACTAGACACTTGTCAATAGATTTTAAAAATATGGTATAAGAAAAATGCACCAAAGTCAAGTCAGTGTAAAAAGATTTTATTAACCCTAGTTCTTGAATTGTGGCTTTGTTTCCCTGGAGATGAAACAGCAGTATACAGAAATGAGAGATACCTTTGATTTTGTTTCTAAAATTTGAGTATGGAAAATTTAGTTATTTTCTTCCTCTAAAATGTGGGGGGAGAAAGATGAACAAAGGACTTTGGAGGATAGAGGAGATAATGGGAAAAAAAGGTTATGCACATAAAAAAGGGCTGTTGAAAAGAGAAATGTCCTGGGCAGAATATTTCAGAAGTCTTGAGAAGTATTTTTTTTGTCCGCCTTTTCATATATTATTGGTTCTGTTCTCCAAAGGTGCCCAGCCCAGTGGAGATGTGATCTTATATGCATAGAAACTTAAACCCATGTTTAGCTTTTTGGTATGAAGAAAGTTTACTTATATCAAACAATATATGTAATTTTCTTATTATAGAAAAAGTGTTTTAAATGAATTTTCTTACAAATGAGTTAAACTATCATTTAAAAATGAAATTCTCAATTTGTTTTCAGTCCCAGGACAGTTGAAGAATAAAGCATAGTTGCATCAGTAATGATGACTCACTCAACTGGGAGCATCTCTCTGGGTGAGAATAAGTAAGATTTTTAAAAGACCTCTGAACAGTTTTGATATGGTATACCTCCTTTTCATTATAAATTATAAATTTAAACCATAGATTGAAACCATTATAGAAATTGGTATTATTAAGAGATGACAAAGATTAAATTTAATCTACTCATGTGAAAACTGTTTTTTCTTCAGTGATATTAAACCTCTCCAACACTTCTATTAACCTTACCAGAGTTTTCAAGACATTTTTATTCTTAGTTTTTTAAAACCTTATTAACTGTTAAGTGTGCAGTACAATAGAGTTAACTATATGCATACAGATCCCTAGAACTTTTTTCATCTTACAAATGAAAACCCTCTACCCTTTGAAGAATAACTCCCTTTTCTCCTTTTCCTCGGCCTCTGGTAATCACTGTTCTACTTTCTAAGAGTTTGACTACTTTAGATGTTTTATGTAAGTGGAGTCATGCAGTGTGAGTGTTTTTGTGACTGTCTTATTTTACTTAGCATAATGTCCTCAAGGTTTATCCATATTGTAGCGTATGACAGATTCCCTTCTTTTTTTTTTTTTTTTTTAGGCTGAGTTATGTTCAATTGTATTTGTATACTACATTTTCTTTATTCATCCACCGATGGGCATTTAGGTTGCTTTCACCTCTTGGCTATTGTGAATAATGCCACATTGATCATGGGTGTACAAATATCTCTTAGAAATCTTGCTTTTAATTCTTCTGGGATATACTAGTATGTTCAGAAATGGGATTGCTAGATTGTATAGCAATTCTGTTTTTAATTTTTTTAGGAACTTCCATACTATTTTTTATAATAACTGCATCATTTTACATTCCCACCAACAGCACACAAGGGTTCTAATTTCTCCAGAGCCTTACCAACACTTGTTATTTTGTTTTTTAAGAAATAAAAAATATATATATTGGCCATCCTAATCATTCCTGGGTTCTTAACTTACTGCTAACATGTAAGGCCTTTATTTTGTTTACTTATTTTTCACTTTCTTAAGAAACAGAATAGTTATTTTAGGAGGTTTCCTATAATTATTGCAAATCTTCACACTGCTCCCTGACCTCAAACACTAGAAAACCATTTGGGGCCAATGTTTTTGTTTTGTGTTTTAAGGGTAAACTTGCCTTAATAGCATCATCATAATGGTGATTGCTGTCTCTGGGCTGGCTTATCTGCTCTGGTTTCCAAGCAGCCCATAAATGCCACATCTTTGAGTGTATGACTTCAGTGTATACCTAATGTGTTCTTCAACTCTCTCTGAATATGGTTGTTTCCATGCAGCATCTGCTCGTGAACCTTGCTGTCAGCCAGTCTCCACAGATGTCTTGCTAAGTGGAGTTGTGCTGCCAAAGACTATGCTTCAATGCTGGTAGACCAGCTACCTTAGTGCCCTATATTTGATGATCCTGTCTAGGCATTTAATAGTATATACAGTTTATAGGTGATATTTATGATTATGTTCAAGACTAACAGATATAATGCTTATAATCCATTTAGTTCTCACAGCTATATATATTTCAGCATTTTCTGTTTTGCATACGCTTAGATTGAATTAGGATCTCAGTGTTGCTTCTAACCTCTCTGACTCTTTTAAAGACTATACTGTAATATTGTAAGGTTTAAACAAAAAAAGAAACACTTTGAATCTGTATTAAAGTTTTGACTCTGCCACTTGTTGGTTGATTTACCTTTTGATGTGTCTTATCCTCTCTGAGGCAGAAATTTCATCTGTAAATGGAATATAATGATACCTTTTATTTTAAGGCTTCATTAATATTGTGAGCTTGTGTTTTTTAGGAAGCCTTTTAACCAAGGAGCCTGTCACATTAGAATTTCCTTCCTTCAAATAGTGAAGGTGAAGGGCATTTCAAACTCAGTGGTACTTTTTTTTAATCCTCACTCTAGGATATGTTTTCATTGATTTTTAGAGAGAGAAGGAGAGAGGGAGGGAGAGAGAAAGACAGAGAGAGAGAGATATGAAGAGAGAGAGAGAGAAACATTGATCTGTTGCCTCCCATAAGCTCCCCAACTGGGGATGGAACCTGCAACCTAGGTATGTGCCCTGACCCGAAATCAAACCCACAATCTTTTGGTGCATGTCACAATGCTGCAATCAACTGAGCCACCCAGCGAGGGCTCTAGTGGTACTTTTATGAACCATATTTGAATATTTGACAGGAGATATCTTCTGATATGTTTGATTCACTAACACATAAATTAACTATCCTTTTATTAGGACCAAGGCTTTTCCTCGTAGTATATAGGTTTGCTAATTGGAACTCCAAGTCTTTCATAAATCTACATTCATAACAAATAATTTCCAGTTTACGTTTTGTTTTTTAATGTATTTTAAAAATTTAGACAATTGAAAAGGAGTGGCTCTCAAAGTGCGATTCCCAGACCAGTAGCACCAGCATGATGTGGGAATTTCTCAGCATGCAAAATTCTTGGTTTTAGCCCATTCTTACTGAATCAGACTCCACGGGGATGGGACTCAGCAGTGTATGTTTCCACACAGCCTCCATGCTAACATTGGGAACCACTATTCTATATTTTATGCTTTACTCCAGTTTTTATATTTCTCTTACATTTGCCACCCAGTTCCTGCCTCACCCCAGGCCTTCACCATATTTTTGTTTATGTCCGTGGGCCATGCATGTATGCATATAAGATGAAATTTATTTTTAATTACTCCCAGATCTCCTAAGTCAGTATTATGGAGAAAGCAGAGAACCCACCCTGTGGTTCATATGAAAGATGTGTGCCTTTTATTCTATTTATTTATTTAATTAATTAATTTTTTTATTCTTGACTCCAAACAGGGAAATGTGTAGCAGCTAATTTTTGAAGTAGAAAACATATGAAAATGTTCTTTCCCAGCCTGAGACTGGCTTTTGCTCTGTCTTATAGTGCTACTTTGATTTTTGGGGAAACCAGTCATGTGTGGGGATAATTCAGTTCAACACATCCTGATGGCCATTTCTGTCAAAGTGCAGGTGAAGTATGTGCCCACCTTTGAGATCCTGAAATCTGGCCTACTGAATTGCAAACATTGCTCTTTGGCTATATTTTGGATGGAGTTTTGATTGAGCTGCTTTTTAAAATATTTGTTTTAATTATTTGTATATTTTTAACTACATTGCTAATCTCACAAAGGGAAAGGGGCTAAATAGCCTGTCTGAATCAATTATGAATCATCTCGTTACTGCAATAGCTGGATGGTAGTACTGCTGTGAAACAGTAATTGAAAACTACCTAATGCAAAGAAAATAACTATTGCATAACATCATGAGGATATTGTATATTGTCTAGTAACAGCAGTACTAGTTCCACTGAGTTATGGATTTGCTATTGCTTAGTCTTCATTCTTCAGTGACAGCGCAAACCAGTCATTCCACCAACAAAGTAATACATGCTATAAAGCTCATGAAGAAAGAAGGAATGTTGCTTAAATGCTTAAGATGGACTGAAGTTTTTGTTAGAGATAGGCTCTAAACCCACATATTAGATATGCGTAGCATAAATTGTGAGCCTGTTTAAATTTTACTCTTCTGTCTGGAGAAGTATTTATAAAAGTAATGAAAATTTTAACTTTGTTCATAATTAAATTGAGGACACAAATTACACATAATAATTATAGAATAGGTTTTGAATGGTAACTATAAGCTAGTGATATGTATGTGTTGTATCATTTTATAGAGGCACTGTCTTTCTAGAGTGGCATTATCTATGTTTTATCAGTGAGAAAAATAGAAAGCTGCTGACTTGCCCAAGATAACTTCTTACTAGTAGGTAATGGAGTTGGGATTTGAACAGTAGTTTGTTTAACACTAAAAGCCCAACCTTTTAACTACTACTTTACACCTTAATATCCGGTGCTTTAATATTCCTGGCCTGCTTTCAAAAACTTCTCTCTTCCTGTCAATTCCAGAGATAACATTCAATAACTTGACAACAATGACCTTTCTAAACAAATACAGAGTGTTACAGAACCAGATGGCCAAAGATTATATTTTATTTTTCTGGCTCAACATAAATTGACTGATAAAATCCAAAAAAGATCCTTCTGTGTCCTAGGACTTCATCAGGCCACATGGCAAGCCAGTGCCCTTTATCAGGAGCCAGTCATGAGTACAGAACCTTATGTCTTTATACCGTAATTTAGATTAGGGCCTAATGAAAGGGCAAGAAGCTGGTTTACTAAGTGAGATCATTCTGCGCTTTAGTAATGGCAGTGCATTTGGGTAGGGAGATTCTGAGGAATTAAAGACAGAAAGGCAATAATACTGTGTCATTAAGTGGATGTAAGCAAGGAGAAGGCGATTACAACTTAACAGACTGCCAACTTAGGCATCTTTTTTTTTCCTTTTGGGATTTAAGTAGAATTTTTGTAATAATTAGAAACTGTTCTTGATCATTCAAAATTGGGTATCCTTTTGACAGTCTTAGATAAATATTTTTAGAAAGTATGTTTCTATATTATAAACGTATTATATTAGAAACATAAGTTACTATATCACACACAAGCATGAACATAATGCTTTCATGAGCTCAGTACACTTAGTAAAGTTCAGACTTAGACCAGATTATACAGGGTAAGAAACGAAATGTTTCAAAGCTATATTGAAGCCAACATGTAATTGACAGTAAATTTCAATAACAAAACAAGCACTAGACTTGGAGTTCCTCAGCCGGCCTACGTTTGAGGCTTCTGTAAGGATCCTCTAGCAAATGGTTTAAATTCTCTGAGTCTCAGTTTTCTTTATTTGTAAAATGAGGTTAGCGTAACATTACCTGCCTTCTTTCATTACAGAGTTGTTCTGAGGACCAAATGGGGGGCATGTGACAGTTATGGTGATGTACAAATGAATGTTGTTATTATGGCTGCATCTACTGTGTAATGGAAAGTGTTCCCAGTTGTGAATAGGATAGACATGCATTTCCAATTACTCTGAATTTAGTATAGTTTGGTGATTTGGGCCAAGGCACCAT